GATCAAGGCAAGGAGCTGGACAAGATAACTAACTATAGTTCTTAATCCAAAATTCCATTCTGTGTTCAGTAAAAATTCCAGGGCAGTGATGTGTGACTCTGGTTTGGCTCTTTTGAGAATACTTAGAAATAAATCTCAACTATCTACTGTTTTTAACAGTCAAGATCAATAGAGAAGATCAACAAAGGACTTTTAAAGCTAACTTCTAAGAAGTCAACACATCCAAGGCAAAAAATAGCTGTTGAGGTCTTATAACTCCAAGTTAAATTCATAATGAATAGACCAGATTAGTGCTAAAGAACAAGAACACATGTGTTTTTGTTACAAATTGGTCCTATAATATTTATCCAATTAGGCCACCTAAGTTGCAATATTCAATAAAATGTTGTGTTTCTGATCCTCTATAAATAAGGTTGCGGTCATCATTTTGAATAGAAAAATAATCTCAATAATTAATGACAGAAAGTGTCAGTTTTACATATGAGGGTTATTATTAATCATGAAATTTGTTGCCCATTTTGAGAGGCAGGAATCACAGTTACCTATTGGGCATTTAGATCATTAAGAGGAAAGGAGTCACAGAAAAAAGTGTTAACTTATAAAGCATCATCCTTTAAACACCCCACAGCCAAAACAATGAGGGAGCCTAAGTACCCAGCTAGGGGTGAATAAGTAAAGAACATGTGGCCTATATACATACAATAGAACACTGTCAGCCCTTGAAATGAAGGAAACCCAGTCAATTGTAACAACATGGGTGGAACTGTGAATAAATTATGTTAAGTGAAATATGGCAGACTGATAAATACTGCTTGATCTGGCATCTGTGCATGTCAATCTCAGAGACAGTAAAAAGAGGAGAACTCGGAAAAACACTGGTGACCAGATGGTGCAGGTTTCCAGCTACAAAATGAGTTACTTCTGGAAACTAGCCATGACACCGTGAAGATGTTAAAACAGATTCAATTATTATTGAATAATTGCAACTTAGGTGGATAAATATTAATTGGATAAATATTAAAAAGGGCGGCCGTTGTTCACAACAATGTGTTGAGAGTTTGAAATTTCTAAGAAAGCCCATCTTAGGTATTCTCACCACACCTACACATACACGCATGGCAAGTGATGGACATGTTAATTAACTTCCTTCGGAGAATATTTCACAATGAATACAATTTACCAAAAATATGTATACTTATGTATCTGTAAATGCAAAAGTGTATATATCAAAAAATCACACAGTACACCTTAACTATGTGCAATTTTCATTTTTCAATGATATAACTATACTTAGTAGAACTTAAAATTCATAAATGTTTTCCTCTTGTGGTTTTTCTCATCTGTGGATAAAGTTCAATATTACTTATATTTCCCTGTGTATAATACAAGCATACAAGACACCACAGCACCTAATCCTGACATAATGATCGCATGAAAGTTTGACTGTATTCATATAAAATATATAACCAAGGGGATTTAGTTATTTTTGTGTAAAAACCATTGCAGTGTGAGGCACAAGCATGGAGCCCTCTTTTCATGGGGAGGGAGGAGGTGCTGAACTAGCTGGGGGCTCAGGAGTGTTATGCCAGAATGGGACACACTACCCCCAAAAAAAGCCAGTCATACTGCTGTAAAGACAAGAGGAAACTTTATTGCAAGCTCAAGCTTGGGCCCAACCACAAACCAGAGGCACCTGGGTGGTAGGAAGGGCCCCATGCATTGTGTGGTAGAGTGTTTATACAGTCCCTGGGCCTGCCGGGTGCAATATGGGTTGCTGCCTAATTGGTTGACTCTTACCACCCTCCATATTTGGTACAGAAGCTTGTCTCAGCCCATGATTGGTTAGCAGACATGGTTAGGGTGCCTTGGTATGGTGCCATACAGGAAGGCCCTCCTCAGAAAACATAGGAACGCAAGCCTAAAATGGCGGCGGATAATTCAAGATGGAGGCTGTCATGCTCTTCAGGGAGAAGCTTATAGCCCTGGAGTCTAAGACAAGGTGAAGCCAGGGCTGGAAGAGGCAGTCTGCCTCTGGAAGTGTGTAGACTCCAAATTCAGGATTTGATATATAAGCTTAAGAATATGTCCCTAGAAACCAGTAGCTTGGAGAGGGAGTGACAGGAGGGATTTGGGAGTGTGAGTGAGTCCAAGACCTTTAACAGGTGCCAGCCAGTGTGTGTGGTGATGTTCTGGAACAGATATCTCTCTCTCTTTTGAAAGGTTTATTTACTTATGCATACTAGAACTGGGGTACAAGCCAGAGATGCGGGGGTGGGAGAATTCACCAGAGACAGAGTGGGAAGCAGAACAGGTTGATGTACTGAAATACACTGCAGAGAAGAGCACCAGGTAGGGCAGAAGAGGTCTGCTGTGTCCTGTGGGTCAACTCCCTGGTCCACAAGCTGCAGTGGCTGCTGCAGACAGCTTCATAGTGTTGTGACTTAACCCCTTAAGCCCTCAGGGAGACCCAGCTCTCCTTAATGACTTTATAGCCTCAATGTTAAGCATCAGACAGGATTTTTCACCCACTAGGTGGCGCAATTCCTTGACTTGATTTGCTATTGTAATGTTTCCTAGAAGGAGGGCTATTTTTAAAGGCTACTTACAACCTGGTCTCTACCAGCATGGTTAAAGGCATACAAATGCAAATGTGAAAATGTGAAAATTTAAAGGAAAGGGTGAAGTGGGGGAATAAGATAAAAGGGAGAAATTATGTAGCAAAGAACTTTTAGTGATGAACCTAAATTTTTTATACACAACATGGTGATGTGTATCTGAAGCTCATATAAGGTGCAGCATTTTTTAAAATGTCTCTTCACATTTTAAAAGTAGAAGAAAGCTGGAATTCATTTTCATAACATTGTACTTAGACCAAGATACAAAATATTGTAATTTCAGTGCACCATCGATATAAAAATCACATAAAGATTGTATTGTTTCATTTTAAGACATCAAGACCAGTGCGGAATTTGCACTCACCATACATTTCAGTTCAGATCAGCATATTCTCATGTGCTCAGTAACATGAAACTGGTGGCTATCCACAGGATGCTCAGTTGCAACTCCCATAAGAAAATGATGAGTCATACTAGAGTTTTGATTGCTTTGCATCTTTGTCATTCCATTGAATTCTACCTTATTATTTCTAAATACAAACCAGAAAGGCAGCTGAGCCCTTGAAAGTTAAAGTGGCCATTGAGTAAAGGAAAAAAGAGATGTGTTTATACCATTCATTTTAAGGGCTTTGAACAGAACATTTCTTTTAAACGTAAACACCATGTACTACAACATAATATAAATGGTGAGAAGAGTAAGAAAGGAAAATGAGTTCTGAGACAATTTTAGAAAAATATTTAAGGAAAAAAAATGGACCTTTTTATAAGTTGCTAACATTAGCAGCTTAATGTTTTGAGATGATAAAAGACTTTACATTTTCACTTGACAAATTCTTTGGCAATTTTTGCAGAAGCAGCAATTGTAAAGCACTGAGTACTACCCATTGTCTTTTGACAAGGGCCAGGCTCTATCGAGAGCTAGCGCATCACTCAGGTACCACCCACATTCCAGTTCTGCCATCATTTGTGTTCCCGTTAAAGGTTGTTCTTTCCCGGTTGACTCATCCTATTTCTGCACTTGTCAGGAATCTTAGCAAAGTATTCACTAAAAGCAAATTATGCAAGAGGTAAGTATTAGAAGCTGCCACACGTGCATAGACGTGGACAGCTTCTACTTGACTGTGCTCAACAGTGTTCGAGAACTTCAGAGCTCTTCAGATGAGCGGGGAAGCAAATGTCCCCACCCACTGCTACGCGCTCTTCCCGCCTTTGCCAAAAACTCATTCCAGATTCATGAACTTTGGCAATTCAAAATTCGCAACAGGTGTGTTGCATTTCTTCCAGACCGTGTGAATACTCCAACAAAGATGGGCCATCTTCTTAGCATTCTGGGCATCGTTTTACCTCACGAGGGCACTATTTCATCTTGCTACCCATTACACATAGCTTGAGCACCTCCATACTCTTTTACTTCCTATACCAGCTATCCCAGGGGATTTGCATTCCAGATTCCTTTCGAGTCAAAGAAAATTTTCTAGGTGAGCATCTATACAACCTATTTTGATTATTCTTCAGATTTCCTATAAACACTGTCAAAATAACATTCCTTAAAGAGTGATCTTAATTTTTCAATTACTGAGGTTTCATTTTATTGACCACACTCCAAGGTGATTGGCCAATGCCTTTTTTTTATTTAAAGGTTCAAAAATAATTATTTATGCATACAGAACCAGAGGTGCAGGGGTGGTTGAGAGGATTCACCAGAGACAGAGTGGGAAGCAGAACAAACAGATGGACGAAGTACACTGCTGAAGGGAGCAGAGGGCATGTCAGGAGAGGTCTGCCACGCCATGTGGATCACCTCCAGCGCTGGGATTGAATGGGCACTGAAGTGGCTGTGGCTGGCTTCGCAGTGCTGTGCTCCAACCCACTGCACCACCAAAGAGGGCCATGGCCAATGCCTTTATCTATCAAAATCCACACACTATTCTGAGTGTGAAGATATGAATCTTCAGTATTTCTAGTCCTTAGAAGGGTGGTTGCAGACTAAGTGGTTAAATAATTACTTACTTAATCAAAAGTAAGGGTTAAGTTTCATGAATTTTCCTATTCTTAACAAGTTAGCTCTTTCATGAAGTCTGCCTAACTTAACTTCTCAAATTATAACTTATGAACTGCATTGTTATAACCTCTGTTGTTCAAGATATTGGGAATTTAATGGTGAAAAACAGTAACACAATGCCTGTCTCCTGTTGTTGTTGTTTTGTTTTGTTTTTCCCGTTAATAAACATACAGAAACACAGAAGTAAAATATATTGGAGATCAATGTCTATAATAGTTTTATTGAATCCCCAGACTAAAACAAGTCTACTTAATAGTGAATTAGTAATGAATGAATATGAATGTATTGGGAAGAGAAAAACAAGAGCGCCCCCTTCTGGGAAGTCAGCATTCTTCTATGCTGCTAGTGTTCTCCAGATGATTCTGACGTGGAGAAGACCCCTGGCTCATTTCCCGTATCTTCAGCAAAAACAAGATGCATATCCAGTAGAAATTGGTGGCTATATATTCAATGATTTCTATAATCGTTATCATACTGGCCCCACAAAATAAGCCCAGTTGACCACCAACATCTGCTATAATAAAACCAATAAAGAAATTGAATAAGTCATATTTTTGTCATAAAAAGCAAAGAAAAAAAACCACTAGAATTTAAATCTATATATTTATTTAAGTTTAAATTTAACTTTAGTTAAATAAAATTTAAACCTAAATCATGGGATATATTAAATGAAATAATAAGCTTTTTTACCTGTGTGTGTGTGTGTGTGTGTGTGTGTACATTACATCCATATAGGAGCAAAATGTTTTAAAGATAAGAACAACCAGTAAACACTTACCAAGTAACTCAGACACACTCACTGCTTTTTGCTGCTGAGTTATCTTGTAGTTTAATTCACTATAGTTTATTTCAATATTCACAAGATTCTGCCTGAGGAAGAAAACAGTAAAAATGACTCAGGAAGGAAAACACTACTGTAAATTCCTATTTGATATTCATTTTTTGCTTCAAATATTTTATTTTGAATCATACACACTTCTTATTGAAGACTGACAGCTTCATTTAGAAAGTACTCACATCCTGTTAGTTCATGTTAGTATTTAGGAAAAAAATTTTTCCCAAACCCAGTAACTTTTCTATGCCTCACTCCTGAAAAACTGAGTAAAGGAATTAAATGTAATATTTACCACCTATATTTGAATATTTATAGCTATTTGAGTGGATCTATAAATTTAATTCAAATCTTACTTAGTACTTTTGTTACTTTTGTGACCTAGGAAAAATCTTTTCTTAAGTCTTGATTTCTTCATCTGTTGTCACAATTCTAGATTAGGAATTTTAGAACTCTGGTGAGGAAAAATTAAATAATGTATATCATGAATTGGCATAGAACCTGGTATATAGTGAGAATATGTACCAGTAAATGGTAGTCATTTGCTTTATATTAGGACTGAAGCTCTATTTACTTAGTGTCTTCTAAAAATCTTTATAGTTGACACTTTTTTTTAAATATTTATTTATTTATTCATACAGAACTGGGGTACAGGCCAGAGATGTGGAGGGTGAGAGGATTCACCAGAGACAGAGCGGGGAGCAGAACAGGCAGATAGAGGAAGTACACTGCGGAGGGGAGCAGCGGGCAGGTCAGGAGAGGTCTGCTGTGCCATGTGGATCTCCTCCGGGGCAGGGGGAATCAAACTCATGCGGAAGTGGCTTAAGCTTCTTAGTGCAGTGCTTAACCCATTGCGCCACCAGGGACGGCCTATAGTTGACACTTTTAATGACACTTCTTTATGTCTCCTTGGTTACACTCACACTTAATCTCCAGTCCAGACCTCTACCTTAAACCCAACAGCAAATCCAACTGCCTCATGATAGTACTAGTTACGCGTCTAATAAGTATTTCAAGTTAAATGTGTTCCAATTCAAACTCTTGATATGCTCCCCATTTATAGTACACTAACACCCCTTAACTAGCCCATCAGGAAATACTTGTTTTACCTTTAATATAGATATAGAATCCTTTACCTCTCATCCCATTAACTGTTACCTTGTTGCTTTGAAGCATTAAGTTCCCCAAGTCTGCGGCATAGATTCTGCTACTTCCCCAGGCCTGCTGCTTGGGGGAGTCTCTTGCTTGAGGTCTGCTGCTTGTTCACAGTAGTAGCTGTGGCTACCTTGACCCCTTCCCAGACAATAAAGAGGCTTATGCTATGCTGGAAGGGATAACAATGGTCCTCATACAACCTGCATAAAACCTCACCTTTCCTGTTAATTCAGGGCTCTGCCTTTTGGGGCCCATCCCACGGAGCCCACTGGTGTGACAAGTAAATCTCTCTCCACCTCACTGAGTGCTGTCTGATTTCTCTGTGAAATGGCCATACAGTGTAGCCTCCATCATCTCTCATCCAGGACTTACCAAAAATTCTGTCAGGTCTTTCCATTTCCAACTTTAATGCATTTCACCTCAACTCTCTGTTCTTACACAATAACCCAGATATTTTCTGCAACTTGCTAGTCATGTTCCTGCGGGACCTCTGGAACTAGACTTCTCTTTCTTTGTGTGTAAAAACCTCTTATTGGGGCCCTCCCTGGTGGCGCAGTGGGTTAAAGCACAGCACTGAGAATCTAAAGCCACTTCCGTATGAGTTCGATCCCCTCGATCCCCGCCTGCCGGGGGAGGTGATCCCACATGGCAAAGCAGACCACTCCTGGCCCGCCCGCTGCACCCCTCAGCAGTGTACTTTGACAATCTGCTTGTTCTGTTCTCCACCCTGTCTCTGGTGAAGCCTCTCACCGCCCCTGCACCTCTGGCCTGTACCCCAGTTCTGTATGCACAAGTAAATAAATCTTAAAAAAAAAAATCTTATTTACGTGACCATGCAATACACTGATGGCTGTTGTTTTAGGTGAAGTAATAATTTTTTTCACAGTTTAAATTTCTAATAAAACAAATACTGATATTTAGAACACAGAGAACGAAAAAAATCACTGGACTCCTCATTAATTCCTAAGAGAGCAAAAACCTTGAGACCAAAATGGTGAGGACCCCTGCTTCAGGCCTTTTTCAATTATTTCCTTCTCAAAAAGGTCTTATCAAACCACTGTCCACAACCCTGAAGAAAAACCTTCCTGCCTCTCTGCCTTCCCCACTGTTACCAACATCGGGTGGGCGGGGTATCCAGACCAACCAAGTATCCAAGAATCCAAAATCACCTGAGCCCAAAAGGGCATGGCTCGAAAAACAGAGCCACGTCGGTTTCACAAGCTATATAAGCTCCAAGCTCCCCTCTTTTTTTCTCGCAAACGCCCTACTGGCTTTACCAGTGTGCTGACCTCTGCTGGAGAGCCCCCCAAACCTTTCTCAATAACCCCTAGTTGCTTACTAGCCACACTAGTCCTCTCTGCTCTTTCTCCAGCTCCCAGGTTTACGGGAAAACACGAATCCTTCTGTTAGTTCATTTTCCTCCACAGCACTTAGCACACAATGTATGCATAACTCTTCATTATCTATCTCTCTGAAAGACCTCAGTGTACAAAAGACAAAAACCTGAACATCCCTGAATACATAATAGGTGCTTATTATATACTTGCAAAATGGACAAATAAGGGAAAAATTAAAGGCTATTTCAATGAATGAACAGATGAACATTAATCTGTCTTCTAAATTGAGATGGAATTTGACCACATGGTGATTTTCAGACAGCAGTAATAATTGTCATTAAGGACGTATCCTAATAGCAATGTTCCTTAGAATTACGCTGTGTTCTTTAACATAGTTAAGGAGCATGGCTGTCAACACTCCTTGGTGTTTATAGGTTAAGCAATCAAAATACTTAACTTAAATTATATCATTACATATATCAAACATATATCATGTTAATATGTTTACTTAATTTCCATTGGTTTAATGCTGGGTAACAGAAGAATGTACCATGTTTAAGTAGATAATCAGGATATGTAGCAATATTTGCCAATGATAAAACAGTTGCCACAGTAGGGAAAATAATAAAGTTGTCTTGGATGGCCAGATATTTTAATAATAATGCAATCCTTACTTTGCATGTACGCTGGCAATATTGTTTAATTTTTCAAGCATAAAACTCATAATCATTTCCAGCAACCATCCATCTGTGTTTCAGGGAAAGTTTTAATTCATCTCCCCAAAAAACATTCTGATCATTCCCTCAACCCTCTCACACAGGTGACTTATCCAGTAATTTGGAGCTTACTGATTCTGTATCTCATAGTGATAGTGAAATTGTTCAAGATTTAAATAGAAGACTATTTGGATCAGAGGAAGCATCTAAAAATTAAACCTTGATTTTAATAAGGTTAAGGGGTGCAAAGAAAAATGAAAGGTGTTTTCATCAAAAAAAATATATATATATATAACAGGCCCTCCCTGGTGGCACAGCGGGTTAAAGCACAGCACTGAGAAGCTAAATCCACTTCCGCGTGAGTTTGATTCCTGCCGGCCCCAGGAATCCCACGCCACCCCGTGGCGCGGCAGACCTCTCCTGACCCGCCTGCTGCTCCCCTCTGCAGTGTACTTTGTCGATCTGCCTATTCTGCTCCCCACTCTGTCTCTGGTGAAGCTTCTCACCACCCCTGCACCTCTGGCCTGTACCCCAGTTCATAAATAAATAAATTTTAAAAAAAAAGAAACTAAAGAAATGCTTCCTTATGCTTGAATAGGAGACTGCCTTAGAGGCCTGTTTTAGTTTTGCACAAAGCAAACAATTTTATATAATTTTCAGCTGAAAATTTGTTAAAATTTAAAGATCACAGTGTCTAAATTTCACTTGTTTTATAATGAAATCAGCCTAAATTCAGCCACAATTAATTCTAAGTCAAGTTAATCTTTCATCATCTTTGGGGGTTCAACTGGGGCCACATGAGACTCTCAATTGGCCACTCCATAGAGTTGGATTTGTGTCCCAGAAAGAAATCAATCCAAGGCTCCATGAATAAATTGGGAAGTGCTTTGTTTGAATTCTTACCACCTCAGTTTGCTAATCTGCTTTCCTGGCAAACTGCATTTGCATTTCCTGATTTATCCTTCTTGGGCTTCTGGCTCTGTGCACAAATGCTTTTCCTAATCATGTTGCTCTTCAACCCTCAGCTCCATTAAGGACTAGCACTTCCCTGAGTTCATCTGCATTTGGTCAACTATTTGCCTTTGTCCTCCTGGTAATGACCCCCACTATTTACAGTCACGTCCCCATATGTGAACTGTAAGACAAAGATGAACTGCAAAACTACTTGCACGAGTCTAAGGTTTAGGGAAAAGATTCTCTATGATCAGCATGATTATACTTGGGTTTCTATTCTGACTCAGTGATATTCTCTTGCATATTAAATAACTATGAAATTCAGGAGCTCTCTATCAACCAAAAGTCATGCCAAGTGCTGGCCTCAGGTATATTAAAATATAACTGACACAACAGTGCCATGAAGTCTGTTTTCCACAGTGAATACAGAGATACCTGTAGTAAAAACAGATGTCAATGCAACTTTCCTGGCTTTTCATCATCAGGTATTTGAAATCATATGATTTCGTGTTTATCTTGATGAGAATTTGTTGTCTTTTGGGTCTGAAAAGATGATTTCATTGTCTAGGTATTTACATGTGGAAAAAAATATTTTATTGAAATAAATACCAGGCTAAAACGGGAATCAAAATCTGATGTTTTCAAAATCAATTACTTAGCTGTGAAAAAGTAAATGAACTTTTAATTAGTTAATATGTTTTATTATAATACACATAAAGTACAAACACTAACGCAGGATACCGCTTTTCATTTTGCAGATGTTTAGTTTAAGGAAAGAAAGGAAAAGCAAAATGAAATGCTAAGATGGTGCCCTGATGAAAACATCAGTATGAAGTTTGATTTGTAACTCTAAGAAACAGCCTGATACAGCAGTAAAAGATCTAATTTAATCCTCCATGAATCAGAATTGGAATTATATTATCTCTGTGGAAACTACATGCAGACAGAGCAGGAATCTGGGGCACAAGTTCTTTCTGTGCCCAGAAGCAGTTACTGGGGATACGGTGCCACATTAGCTTTCTGGTCTGTAAAATGACAGTAATGACTGGTGCTTCCTCTACATTTTCCACATATTAGCCTCAAACTGTATAAACTTCAGTAAGACATTTCCAAACAACTAGTCAGCATGATTATCTTCCCCGCCAGGCCAGTAAAAGTATTGAGCAAATAATTCATAAGCAAATAATTCAAAATGGTCTCAGTTTATTTTTCATGTAATTAAATTAAGGAATTAAACGACAAAATCAGATGTACATTTAACATTGGAGGGCTTTGTTGTTAATTCATTGGCATAAGACATTAGCTTTTTTGACTGATTACAATTTCTTGTCCTGATCTTTAAAAGTTTTGACTAAGCAAACTATTCATGTTGATTGGAAGTTATTTTCAAGACTAAAAAGATTACCTGATATATTCCTGGCTCTTATTCAACTTCTTGGACAAAGATTTCAAAGCTTTTTGACTTGGAAAAGTAGAATAAGTAATAGTAGCAGGGTATTCAGTTTCTTCACAAGGTACAGGGCAGCTAGAATTATGTTTTCCCATTGTACATAATCCCTTAATTTCAATGTGGTCTATAATGAAAATCAGGACAGGCTGTTCAGGTAAGAGAACTATTGGACAGTGGAGAGGAAAGAACTTCTTAAAATTTTATTATTTCACTTTCAATACTAAAAAAGTAGTTAACGAGTTCTATCAGTAATATATTCTAATGGTTTTATTTATATTTTAGTATGAATTTTATTTACATTTTAGTATGAATATCAAAGAATATAAGGGATTATGGTAGAAAAAAAGAAAAGAAAAATAATCTATTTCACAAGATATGAAAAGCAAACTTCACAGGAAGGTATATGACATACATATTTAATAAAATAACCAATGGTTTAAAGTCACAAGCATGAACAGGAAGCTATATTGGAGTTCTCTATATTTGGAGAACTCAGAATATACTATTAGAATGTTAACATTGGTTTGGGTTAACATAAGAGCATTGTAAGAAAATAAATATTGCTTAAGGATAAGTGGTACCCAATCAATAGAACGTGCATGGGTGAGACTTGTAACGTTTGTATATGAGTATTTATATATATGAATAAATGATTGGATAGATGAATCAAAAAGGCCATTACTCATGATAAGAGCAATTCTCAAAATGTGATTTTCACATGATTCTTCCTTAGACTGTAATGTTTAAACTATTTACATCAAACATTTTTATTTATGCATAAGGGAAATAGTAAAGCTATTTCAATGATAAAAATATACAACTAAAAATTAATATAAACATTAAAAAATCTGACCAGTACTGCCTTGCTATTATCTTGTCACTGTGTATCTTGAATTTAAATATATTGCAAACTTAGGGGTCTTACTTGCTTTGTTTTGTTTTATTTTCTCATTTATGTAGGCTACTGTTCTTAATTTTATGACCTTGGGAAAACTCCCTCTTATATTCTCTTTTCATTTTGTGCTATATATAGCATGAGTTAATGCCACATAATACCACAAATAGCTTCCAGATAACTTCTAAAAATAAAAGAAATAAATGAAACCACTTACCCAGAATAGGGGAAACACAGCTGTGAAACTTTTGGAGATCACACTCTGTTCCATTTCCTTTAATAAGTGAAAATACAGTAAAATTTCTTCACAGAAATAAAGTCAAAATACTTTATATTTCATGACATGACATAATGCTATCTGCCTATCCACCCAGCTCTACACCCTTTTCTTTGTGAAAACAAAAGCCTACGCACATGCTGATGCCCGGCGATAATACGTACTGAGATTACATTCTGTGGTTGAGAGGAAGAACGGCAGTGATTTCTTTATCTGTCTATTGCCTTTCCTCTCTGTCTCATTCAAAGATCTCTTAAATTGAAACAATAATTTTAAATGCTGAAGAGCCTTTGAGATGGGCTGGTGCGCCTGTGCCAGGCAAGGAGTGGAAGTACACAGTGGTAGGCTCTCCCTGGGGCCTGCGGGTTAGGCCTCAGCTCACGTCCCCGTGAGGGCCTAAGTTCTATCCCCGCCATGAAGCTGACCCACATGGCACAGAATGCTGTCTTGCCTGCTGCTCCCCTTAGCAGGTTATTTCATTCAGTCTGCTTGTTCTGCTCCCCCCTCTGTCTCCGGTGAATCCCTTTACCCCCTGCACCCCGGTTATTCTAAGCAAAACTAAATAAAAAGATTTGAGAAAATGATGAATATTTAAATAAAATAAAAGCTGCTGTTTGTGGTATGGTTGCATACTAACCTGTTCCTCTAAATCATAACCAGTGCTGTAAACCAACATTACCTCCCAATTTAAAAATAATAGAATTACAATGATAGGTGACTTGTCAGCTGAGGGTGTGATGAATATTTAAATAAAATAAAAGCTGTTGTTTGTGGTATGGTTACCTACTAATAAAGAAGTGCAAACCTGTTCATCTAAATCATATATAGTGTGTAAGCCAACATTACCTCCCAATTTAAAAATAATACAATTAAAATGATAGGTGATGTGTCATTTGAGGGTACAGTAGGCAATTATTTTTCTCCTTGAATTCATAAGAATTCTGTAAGAATGAAAAACAGTTTCATCATATTCTGATTTCTCAAGTTTCAAAATTTAAGTAAATATAATTAAGGGAAAGTTGTCATTCTTTATTTACCAGGAAGCAAAAAAGGTAAACATCCACACTGTTTTTCTATGTGCTGTGCTTTGCATTCCTTCAAACAACCAGAAGTGCTGTAGGTACAAAAGTTCTTTAGCTTGATGCCTGGGTTGCATTCTCCCCAAGGGTATTCTTGATGAACAGTCTTAAGAGAAAATAAACATCTAAATCAGGAGATATGTCTGCGTCAATCTCGAAGCCAGAAATTTCCTGTTATTTCTGTTATTCCATGACCTCTTCTCTGAGTTATTTTGACCAGGAAAACACCAGACTTGTAGTGTTTTAACCTGATGGTATCACTGACTCTTACTGGTGGGGGCATAGGGGAGGTAGGCGGACCCAGGCTGATCTCTTGATCCTGGACCCAGAGAAGCCATCTGGCACATTCCACACACCAGGAGGCAGGAAGAACTCTGTGGGCAAAGGCCCCTTGACACTTCCTCTTCCCCTTTCAGGAATCATTATCTAGCCCCCACACTCTCTAAGCTGCATTAAATAAACCACTTGGAAGACATTGCAAGATGCCTCTGAGCACTGTTCCTGTCTCCTTGCTTGACTGACCTGCAAAAATACCTTTCTCTTTCTGCTAAAGATGGTTACCTAGTATGTGGTTGATAGCTTAGTGTATTATTAATCAGCCTATTCACACATGGCAATCGAAATCACACACACACACAAAAAAGATGCTTTTATTGAGCTGTTACTATGTGCCAGGCAGCATGTTAGGAGCTTCCTGTTCTTTTACTAACAATTCAACATAACTATGGAAGGGAACTATCACTCGCCCTCTGCCCAAGGGCAGAGAGAAGATAGAAATTTTATAAGTTAATGAAGGAACTGGAAGAACCAGCAGCTGGAAAATGGAAATTTGCCAGCTCCAAGATTCTTCTCCTTCCCAGAAAACCCTGCTTGAGAAACTGCCTTGGAAATACGTAGACAACTCCTTGTACTTGGTAACCGGTCTCTAGATAAGTTGTAATTACCCCTGGATTTGCTAGGCTGCCTGACTTTTACTTAAACTGTATGTGAATTCATTGCTTTAAATGTACGTCCAATTAAAAAGAATCAGAAAGGAGATGGTGGAATTTCCAGTGGTGCCCCAAAGGCGTGGGAGAAAGGGGACCCTGGTGAAAACTGCTTATGGGCTTTAGTACCACTCCACACAGCTCCCTTCCGGGTTACACTTCGTCACCACCTACCTTCACTTGGCGGATGGTCACCCGCGCATGCATGCCCACCGGAGACGACAAGCCCAGACCGTCGAACTGGGGCATCTTCTTTGGTGAATGGATGGCAAAGACGATACCGGCATCAACAAAACCAAAGGCTGGGTCATCAGTGAATTCCTCCTGAGACAAAAATGTATTTATTTTCTCCAAGTTCCAGATTTACATCAATTCCGTACAAGTTTAAGGCTGTACCATCACCTCAGAAGCCATCTGAATTAAGCTAGTTCTTATCAGCATTCAAGTTTTCTCTATTTTAAAGCTCCCCTCCCCCCAAACAAAACACCTAAGACATATCTTTCTTGGTGTCTAGTATGGCTGGGCACCCTTTCTGCCTTAGAGGAACCCCTGGGGGCATCCTGTCCCTGCGGACCATCTGATTTTTATGGTTCCTTAGCCTAGCTTCCCTTGGGTACTTCTCCCCTTGGCTGGCCTCTCTGCTTTTGTTTTGACATCATTTGGCCCTTCTTTTCTCCTTGCAACTGAAATCTCTGGTCTTTTTAAAAATTCAAATTCAGGGCCCTCCCTGGTGGTGCAAAGGGTTAGAACACAGTACTGCAAGTCAGCCACAGCTGCTTCAGTGCGAGTTCGATCCCCCACCCGGGAGGTGACCCACATGGCGCGGCAGACCTCTCCTGACCCGCCCGCTGCTCGGCTCAGCAGTGTGTTTCCTTGATCTGCTTGTTCTGCTCTCCACTCTGTCTCTGGTGAAGACTCACCTCTCTTGCACCTCTGGCTGTACCCTACTTCTGTATGAATAAATATTAAAATAAATTCAAATTCATCTTCCCATAAGAGTGAAAACAATACTACTATATCTTTAACTCCAGTTAAAGTAACTTATATCAGGTGAAAAAAGTTTACGACTAAGGTGCTGGTGACTTTTTATTATTTAGAGCTTCAGGCTATAAAAAGACAGAATAAATTTAGAAATATGACCTTTTTTTCTGTGAAATGGATAATCCCATGTTTGATACCCATCTGTAACTCAGGACTCTATTTCCCTTAAGTGTGTTATGCTTCTTAAGTAGGCACATAACTCATTAGTCTGGAGAAATATTTTAGTTCCAGTTGCTTATGGAACATTGCATTGATTTGCAGATTTTAACTGAACTCTAAAACTATTTGGGAAATTCTAGTTTGTTAAATTCATCATATAACACTTGATATTTGCTATAACATATTGCTTAGTTCATTTGATATTTGATGTAACATATTGCTTAGTTCAATGACTTGAAAATATTAATCAAATATATAAAGTTTACATGTGCTGCCTGACTGTGCAGTGCTGTGTTTGAACATAAAGAAACAGGACAGATACAGTAGGAAGTTATAAAGAAATGTCTTAAGAGAAATACACTTAAAGCAACCAGTGGTTCATGCTTAGTGAGATAAGCCAGAAAGAAAAAGAAAAACACCAAATGGTTTCACTCATAGCAGGAGTATAATGGACCAGGCAAGAAAATAATAATAATGAATAGTCATATACCAGAGACATTTTTTGGGGGTGGGTGGAGAATGGGATCAAATGGGGGAGGGAAGGAAGTACACAGGACTCTGGTGATGGCACATGGGTGACTCGGTGATGGAAAACCCACGGAGATTACAATTGAGATGAAAAAAAAAATGTACAAAATGATTTAAAAAAAACAGTAGTCTCACTGTTTTGGGAGCTGGAGTGGCTTGATGAGGGTTAAGGAGACCAGGATTATCTTCCACCTTTGTCATCAATTGTGTGATTTTGGAAACAAAATTTATTGACATTTCACAATTTTCATTTGTAAAACTACTATAATGGAGTTGAATACCTCTAAATGTGTGAAGCTAGAAATGATTTTTAAAGACAGATGGTGAGAATTAAGCCTGGATGAAAACTAGACCAGATAATCTTGAAGATAACTTCACTGCCTTTCTTTGGTATCTGCATATCTGCCTTACAGATATAATCAGAATTTCTTAGGTTAATTACAAATTTACAGATACGAGGCTAGGTAAAGTTGATTTATGCAATATTATTTATATAGCAATCTTTTTTTTTTTTTAATCACCCGTTCGGATGATAGAGTCTGTGCTTTGTCAACTTTTTATGTATGGCCCTTGCTAAAACATATTGCTTTCTCTACATGAAAATCTAAAGATTATCTTAAAATAATTTTTATTTTAAATAATGCATATCTTAAATTAAATTTATATATTGTGAAAGAAGTCGCCAAATTTTTCTTGTATTGTGATATAAAAATTTCCTAGAGTCACAATAATAGTAAGTGGAATCACAACAAAATATCCAGAATATGCCTCTAGATTTTGTCTATTCAATCTCTAAGCTAATAGTTGCTTCTTTTGGAATCGAGGCTGAATTGACAAGACCCAAGTAATACCCAACTTGCGGGATCAATTTGATAGGACACAATATTCTGACTGAATCTTTTGAAATGTCTGCCCATTTTTTATTGTCTTGAATCTGACTAGATGTAAGAAAATCCAATACCTGATTGACATTGAAGAGCAAGTTTAAGCCTCTTCCAGAAACACTCACTTTTTTCCTGGTTTGGACATTATCAGCATGATTAAAAGTAAAACAGTTTCCATATTCAGTGAAGACATGTGCAAAATCCTCCAACATGAAAATAAACCAAATAAAACCCAATCAGTTGGATATTTGGGCCACTGTTCAAGTGTAAATTGTTATATCTTTATTTTTTAAATCACGCTGTTTAAATGAAAATGCAGAAATCGGAGAAAGAATTTCATTCAATGGCGGTTTTCTTTCTTTTTTCAATATACACAATTAACTTGCATGCTATTATATAATTGAGATGTTTGCATCTGTAAAGAAGCATATATTTTTTAAATGTTAGGAATTATTTGTTTTATATTTCATAAGGATTCAGGGATCCATCCATGTTTACCTTTAGATAATTCTCTCAGCATCCTCCCTTGGAGACACCGCCCCCTCCTATCCTGTCAACCACACTGCTGTGTTTCTTTGACTGTCCCCAAGTAGAACTAATTGGAGCCTTCCGTGGAGTGTTAAGTGGCTATCAGCATATTAACATATAGTAACGAGGGGCTGGGTTGTTAGCAGCCTCTTGATGCTGTGAGAGGTGCTGGAGAAGGAAGCCAATCTAAGTTTTAACAAAGAAAAGGAAACAGAAAGCTAATGAGTCTTGGAGTCCTTGGTTGTGATATGGTTAAAGAGGGTCTTACGGCCCTCCCTGGTGGCGCAGCTGGTTAAAGCACAGCACTGAGAAGCTAAAGCCACTTCAGCATGAGTTCGATTCCTGCCTGCCCTGGAGGTGACCACATGGCGTGGCAGACCTCTCCTGACCCGCCCGCTGCTCCCCTCAGCGGTGTGCTTCGTCGATCTGCCTGTTCTGCTCCCCACTCTGTCTCTGGTGAAGCCTCTCGCCGCCCCTGAGCCTCTGGCCTGTACCCCAGTTCTGTATGCACAAATAAATAAATCTTTTAAAAAAAAAAAGAGGGTCTTATACTCAGAATTCCTCTTAATTAAGTCAATTTATCACCTCTTATTACTCTTTACCTTACTGGAGTTGGGTTTCTGTACTGTCATTTGCAACTGAAAATCATGTGTCTTGTTACGGGAGGTGTATGTTATCCTGCCCCACTTACATGCCACCGCTTTGGACAAGTCCCAGGATGCCTACAGCAGAGTCTTGGTCAAGGGAACTAAGTTAGATGGGGGTCAAACAACTATGCTTGGCACATAATTGAACACCTGGGAAGCCCTCACTCACATCATCATGGTACACCTGTTGGCAGGACACAGAGTACTTGGCCATGGGTTGCTCAATTAATTTCTCTCTCTCGTCACCATCTAGCTACCTGCACATATATTTCACCATCTAGCTACCTGCACGTATATTTATGTATGTGTGTCTAGTTAAATTTCCCCTGCATATGTATTACATTCATTACCACTTAGGAGAGGATTCAGACCCTTGTCACATTTCCATGAGGTTACCTTGGAATAGGACACAATTTCTTGGTAAGGAATTTGAACATATTGGCAAATAAAAACAGCATAGAAGAGCTTCTCCTCACAATTCAGACTTTAGAGAAGGACTTCAACAGCTATCTCTCATCCATTCCTTTTAGGCTTGCTGTATGTTGTGAAAATAAGTACACAGAAACCCAATTTAAACAAGATCTTGAGTATATCTAGTCAGCAAACAACAAGACCCAAAATGCCTTGCATCTCGGAAGGAAAGTGATGCTGTCTCCCTGCCAGGAGAGCAGGAGGAAGTTCTGCAGAGCATCAGCTCAGCCAGTGAGGGAAACAACCACATATTAAACTCCCAGTTCCAGAAATGAATTTTTGGTTGCAACAGCTCCTCTAAAGTCTATACAAATTGGTGTGGGCTTTTGTTCTAGAAAGAGGTACTTGTGAGCATGAAACTGTACTTTCCAAATATGATTTGTTTGTGAAATAACTGAATGCTTTTTGCATGAGGACAACAGTACTAAGGAGGGAGACAAAGAGTAAGAGACTGTTCCAGAACTTGTGAATATTACTTAGAATCACCAGTAACAATGTTGCAGAACTGGTGATAGAGGAAAAAGGAAGGACATCAGATCCTATATTTATTTCTTTACTACTATAATCTAGATAGGTTAAACACTTTTTAAAAACAGATTGATTATGTAAACAATAAAACAGGATGTCATCAATGATTTGAAAAATACAAACATATATAACATAATATGTAGTGTTTAACATCTATTTTTCATAGTCAAATCTTGGAGTCCTCTAATGGAATTATCACATGCCTAAAGACAAAATGTTGGAAGCCTAATGATAATAAGTATGTGATCTTGGAGTACGTTAGCTTCTTGATGAATATGAAAAAAAAATCTTCTGTGTTAAAATTGCCTTTCTCTTTAGAATAACTATTTTTCTTCACCTAACTACTTAAAAGATGAAACATGTCATACATTTTCCTCCCCCCGCCGCCCCTGTCCCATAGGGCTGTGTTAATGCAATATAATCTTTGAACAAATTTATCTTGACTTCCCATGGGAGTAAAGTTTATCTCCATGTGAAGAAATATTAGCAAGTGACTTGTAATATTAATGATATGTGAGTAAATATTAAGTTATTACCTTTGGGCCACATGGCTTCCCAAAAAAGTCACATTTCAACAAAGTGTTATTGTTGAGATAAAAACCATTTTTTCGGACAAATTCTGTAATGTTGAAGTTTTGGTGACGTTCAAGAAAATCAATAACCTCTTTAGAGCGAGTGGAATTGGCACTTAACTCCTGCAGATGGAGGACTTTGGATACAATATCCCATAAGAAAAAAATCAGACCAAATTTGGCTACAGCATCTGTTTGGAACCTGTTAGTAGGAAAAGGGTAACATTTAGGAAAACAATAACTTTTTATCTAGAAAACAGAGACCAAACATCTACTTCTCTAGCTTTCTCCTATGTTGTCACCATTCATAATACATTCAAGAAAAGTAAGATTCCTAGGAGATCTTTGTTATATCTCAATGTTTACCTTGTACTTCCACATACTTCAATCTGAATACATTGTAATGGGTCTTTGATATCCAACATAAAGGAGAAAATCAGAAAGTACATTTCTTAAGAACAGACTTAGAAGCCACATTTCCTGACATCAAATCCCAAGACTGCCATTGCTGTGTCTTTGTCCTGTGACTCTCTGGCTATGTTGGGATTATGTTACATCTCCCAACATGCCCTTTCTGGGATATAATTGGTTTATAAACTGACGTTCAAGGGCAAAAGGACTGTGGTAGCTCACACAAATGGTGGCTGACCTGTTGACATTGTGTTGGTGTGGACGCTGCTCCTATATCTCCTCCTGTCAATTCCCCACGTCAAAGCCTGGCTGCAGTGAGAGAGCAACTTGGAGAAACTGCCAGCCACCTGCCCCCCACCAAGTCGGGAGTGGTGAAAGGGGAGATAACATTCCAGAGTTTGATTTCATCACTTCAAATCCATTTTCCTTCCTGACTTCTGACCCCACTGACTTCTGGCAGAACCCTGGAATCCCAGCAGTAGATCTCCAGAATGCTTAACCAACTCTTACGTTTGTGGCCCTAATCCCCATGGTAAATTCCTATTCTGTCTCAATCATACTGATTTTGCTTCTCCCATGGAGCCGATTATTACTACCAATGAATTATTTGACTTAGAAAATTCCTTCATCTGAGTGTGACTCAGTTTCTGTTCTTATAGAATTGTATATGCGAATAAATGCTACCTCAAAAAATGCTATTTTTGATGAAATTATTTTTTCCTTAAACATTTGGAAGTAAGCCTTGAACTCAAATAATGTTAACATTTATTAAGTAAATGCCTCATCATTTCCCAGGTTTATTGGCAATCCGACAAGGAGTCTATTTGCCTTTATTACAGCAAGAACCTTGTACTTCTTTTATTTTGTTGAGCGATCTAGTCTTGCATTACTATGGGTTGTTTAAGTGCATTCCTTTCAAAATCGGGTATTTTCATATTTTAGACCTGAGGAATCTTGAGCCTAATCAAGCTATTATTTTTTTTTTTTAACCTCAAATTGACTACTTGACACTATAGAATAAAATTTATTTCCAGCCTGGGTAGTGTAAGGCCCAGATGGCATGTGGTTTGCCTGTGACCTTGTTCCGCAAAATACTTTATCTGCCAAACTTTGTTTTATTTTTACATTTCTTTATAGTATCTTTCATAATTGTTCTCACACAAGCCATACAAAACCCTTCCTTTTAATTAGATTTTTAAAATTTATGCACACAATAAATGGGGGTCTAGGCCAAAGGTGGGGGGTGGGTGAAGATGATGGGGGTGACTGGATTCACCAAAGACAGAACAGGTGTATTCCTGTTGAAGTGCACTGCTGAGGGGAGCAGCAGGCAAGACTGGGGTGGTCTGCTGCACCTTGTGGGTGGCTCTCTGGCTGGGGATGGAATTTGCACTCCAGTGGCTGCCTTATAGTTTGATAAAGCTGAGACTTAACCCCTGTACTGCAGAAAAGCCCTCAGGACCTTCCTTCAGGAAGGTACCAGTAAGGTAGCAGATACACAAGATAAAAACAAAAATACAACTGAAGAAAATGAAATAACAACCCAGGACACATGATACAGCAGGTCCTCAAATAACTTAATTTCCTTCAAAGTCATGTAATTCCTAATGTTGATGAGGGGAGAAGTCATTCCCAGCTGGAGCCACTCTGAGGTAGACTCACACCTTCTCCGCTGTCTGCCCTGGGTTCTCCGGCTGCTCTGAGTTCCATCCACATCGCCAAGGTGCGCGTGGAATTCCCTGACGCTCCTCAGCCGTCCCAGTGCGTGTGCTGTCACGTGCGTGCGTGTGTGCGTGCATGTGACGTGTCCTGCCGTGCCCTCCACGCGGGGCTGGACTCTGCCAGCCCGCACCCCTCAGCTGGCAAAGCAGGAGGGGAAATGAAAGAAGAAACATGTACAAAGCACTGCTGATTCTAGATGTGTTATGAGTCTTTAGACATTGGGTGACGTTTTGGTGACAAGGACAAGGCAAGAAGGGCTCAGTGCTAGCTTATGTCTCTGGTCTTTGGTCTTTCACTCTACCGTATTCACTAACAGTTCCCGACCTTTGACGACGCAATGACAGGACTCACCCTGCATTCTTTTAGAAAGGAGAAACTGCGGGCCCTTCCTGGTGGTGCAAGGGGTTAAAGGCCGGATTAGGAAGCTCTCAGAAGCCACTGCAGTAAGTTTGATCCCCTGCCAGGGAGCTGATTCACATGGCGTGGCAGACCTCTCCTGATTCAACGGCTGCTCTCTGCAGCAGTGTATTTCGGTAAATCTGCCTGTTCTGCTCCTCTGTCTCTGGTGAATCCTCTCACCCACCACACCTCTGGCCTGTACCCCAGGTCTGTAAGCATAAATAAATAAATCTTAAAACAGACAAAAAAAAAAAAGAGAGAGAGAGAAACTGCTTTTCCTCTATGAGAAATGGGGAATGAAATAAATATAAAACCTTACTTAGCCAGTTCTGAACATTGCAAGGCCAAATTAAAAAACAAAACAAAACAAAAACAACCGTGCAGTTTCTAGAATCTGTAAATACCCTCCATTGGCTTTTTCTCTAGAGACACTATTAAGTCTTTCATGGTATCTGATACTTGTCAAGGCTATTTGAGTCCCACTGGGATCCTCTGAATTGAAAAAAAAGCTGAATTCGTTATCTAGTGATGTGGCTAACGAATAGCTAACACTAGCTGCCATCATACTAACCACTTGTCTCGCTTCCTCTAAAGTGCGTCTTTTGAAAGTAAATAGTCCTCACGGGTAGCACGTTCTGCAGTGGAGCATAGCGTTAGCCCCAAATTGAACCCTGACTGTTGCAATCAATTCATAGCATTGTTACAGGGCAACCCAGTGTGAACTGGGCTGCCTGTCTGTGGGTCCTCACCTGTGTGCTTAAAACACAATGGTACTGCAGGCACACACAGAAAGGGTCAATAATGGGTTTATTTACAAAGGGGAAAAGAAAAGGAACAACCCAGGGAAAGAGAGAGAGATAAACAAGCTAACTAGACCATCCTACCAGCTCCGCTGACTTGGACCTTCAATATACTGATGGCTCATCAAGAGCCAAATGACCAGCCACCAGTCACTCAGTCCAGAGAGTGCCACTCAGTCCAGAGAGTGCCCCGCAGTCCAGAGAGAGCCAAGAGGTCCATAGAGAGAGAGAGGTGCCTCACAGCACTCCCTTATATCCCCAAAGTCCCAGAATGCCTGCTTAGCTCCGCCCTTGGGTCCTCACAGTTCTCTCCTTGGTATTGCTGGGAGTTGTAGTTTCCAATCACTGGAGCAGGGGTGGAGTCTACAGAACTCTGCAGGGTTCCTTTAGGACATCCTTTCCCTCTAACAGCATGAGTAAATTTCTCCATCTTACTGTGACTCAGTTTCCTCACTTGCATTGTTGTGAGTTAATACAACTCACCTGCTTCATCTTTCTAAGATGACTGACAGCCTGGGATCTCCCACTGGGGATCCTACATCAGCTAACGTCAGGCCTGTCTCACACAGTGTTCACTGTGTTCTTTTCAAAATGATTATGCAGAGAAATGAAGGAATTATCCCACGGGTGGGAGGTATAAATACAATAGATAAAAAGGTTAAAGGGGACTGCACTTTAAAATATCCTTTTAGAATGATTTTCATTATGCTAATAATAGTTGGGACCAGCAGCGTAATCTAGGGCAAAGAATTAACAGATAAAGTCTAACAGTATTTGAAACAAAGGATGTGAATACTTTGAGACATATTGTTCAGCCTAAAATCAAAGTGTTTTTCTCTGAGTTTATTTTCAACTTTAATTAGAACTTCAGGATCCTCCTCAGCTTATTCTTTCAGAAACCTTGTTTAGTTCTAATTTTTCTTAACTTTTTATTGAAGACATGTTAGAGCAATAAAAACAGTGATAAAATACACGGATTTATTTAAATAATTTAGTAACATAACTATGGCTACAGCTGACCTCTTCTGTATATTAATGTCTCAAACTACATGTGGCCAAAGATCTGACCCAGCCTTCCCCTGACTTCCATCAAAACATTCAAGTCTACCACCATTAACAAGGAACACATAGCTTATAGATCATTTTATGGAGAGTGAAAATAGAGAAGAAAAGTCTGCTCTTTGCATTTACCTATGAGACAATTTTAACCTCTCTCAATGTGGAAACTCAACCCTTGAGCACACTGGGTATGAGTGATTATGCATCTCACTCTATCATGCCTGGGATAGAGCCTCCTTATAAGAAGGGGCCACGCAGGGGAAGGAAGTTCCCACCTGCTTTCTTTTACTCATCAGAAATCTGGCTTGTGTAAGCTGGAGATGAATTGGGTGAGCAATGTTGCTAGACCGTCTCCCCAGGCAAGCTGTGACCTTAGGTTGGAAACTGGGAGTTGAGTCCTGTTAGCGGTACCTCGCTAGAGAGTAGCTTCTGTCCTGCTGGGACAGATAAGGGGGAGGAGAGTGCCCAGGAGTTCTCTTTACATTCTACAGTTGCTTGCTGTTTTTACTAAGATTTAATAGCTTTTCTTTAAATAAATATTTGTTCATTTGCTTTATTCCTTTCGGATAATTTTCACAAGTAGTTGCTTTGCACAGAGATGCATGCGCATCACAGGTGTAAAGCAATGTCTAATTGTTGTGTTAATGTGCATTTCCTCGAAGCTTCGTGACTAAATATTTTTTCATGTACCTCTTAGTCATAAGTGTGTCTTCTTTCTAGAAATGTCTACTCAGATCCTTAGCACAATTTAAAATTGGGTTATTAGACTTTTTGTTATTGCATCCTAGGAGTTCCTTATTTATTTTGGAGATTAACCCTGAAGTGGTTGTTTTTTGAAATATAAACTTTTACCAGTTAAGGTGATTTCCATGGGGAGAGAATCTTTGGTGATCCTCACACTGCCATTCTGGAAATGATGAATGCGTTTTCTTTTAATGAACTATATCATCAACTAAACTTTGCTTTTGTTAGAGCACAGACCTTTTAGGAGACAATAGTACTGAAAATCTTTTTTGGGGCGAGGGGTATTAGTTATACCCTTTGGGATACAGAACAAGGTGTTAATCTACATCTTGATATATATTAATAGTCACACAGACATGCTGTGCCGCTTCTGATTCCAAAATCAACCCCACGAAAGGGTTGCTTATGACAATTTGTACTATTTAACAAACTGTCTTTAATGTTTTAAAATATTGCTTCTTATCAAAGAATCACAAAATCTCTAAGATGCAATATACGTGTGTGGTATGTATGCTAATTATATAATGAGCATCTAAGATACAATCCCAGAAATGAGATGAAAGGATGACTGTATCATCTCATCAAATGAAACAATTTTTAAGTATAATTTTATATTTACAAAAAAGGAAGCTAGGATGGTTAAAAGAATTGTTCATGGTTTAACAAGATGAAAAGTAATGAATCTTAGGAAATGCCACACCACTCTCCCACCTGTTGAAATCCTACAACCCCTTCAGGTCCACTGTCAACCATTACAAGACTGTCTGAAGGGCCTTCTGAGGAAAGACGCCCTCTCCAAAGCTCACTGAGTGTGCTGTCAATGGACTGCAGTTTTCTGGAAGGTCTTACAGACAAGAGCTCAAGACATGCCACAGAGCATTAAGCCAAATGTGGGGTTCTTCTAAACCTCGCCTGTGTGTGCAGATCACAAGCTGTGAAGCTTACCCTGCTCTACTAACTACCTCAAGTATGCATGAAAACATTTCACATCTAAAGATCTTGGCATCGTCATTTCCTCTTCAAGGTTTTCCTCATCTCCGCCTAGAAATCATCTCCTTTAATACTTAGACTACATGAAGTTGCCCCAAACTAATAAACCTTTTAAACCCTAAGTATCAACACTTACATCCATGTAAACACAAGGCTTGGTGCATGGCCTCATGTATACTTGCGCAAAGTTAAGGAAGGACTAGAAGGAAAATAAATGAGTGAAGGAATCAACGAATTTCTTTGTTAAATTTGCAAGTTAAATAGGTTTTAAGAACTGCAATGGCTTTACATATGTTAGTTATCATAATAAATCTCTTACAGTCATGAAAAATTCTTAAGCTAGAAAAGTCATAAACACAATTATGAAAAGAGTAATTTTTACCTGTTTAAATTACAAAACGTCACAGCTGGGAACTCTACATTTTCCACGTACTGAACCTCTACAGAGGTGGTGGTTGGCCACGTGAAGTAGTTGACAAAGCGACAGTAGATCTGCCACACCACGAGCGAGACTGAGCCCAGGACCACCGCCAACCAGATCACCTTGCGGATTTGGCTCCGGTTCCCAACAATATTATGTACCCCATGAAAGGAAGTGGAGATAGCAAAGTCACGGTCAAACGTCTTTCGGTCAGCGGGAGTTGGCAGCGGTATCTTTGAAAGACAGAGCTTTATCTTTTCGAAGAGTCCTTAAGGTTTGACCACAAAATAATTAAATAATAGCAGTGAGTTAGGAAACCTTAACACTTTAGAAAACACAATTCACATTGCAAAAGGTGACCTTCTTTATTTGGAACAGGGAAAGACTCAAGCTTCCTCTTGAGTTTAGACATCAACATACCAAGTGTTGGCCACATGGCTTCAGTGAGGAGAGCTAATGCTTCTCAGAAAAAGGTTTTCGTTGGTGTGCATGTATTGCTGCCATTACATTACTATGTGGTTAATTCCAATTTCAAAAATCAACTGAATTTTGATGAGTTGCTTATAAAAATTCATACTCCTAAAAAAAATAGACCTGATTTTTAAAATTCTCTTTCCTCTTGAAGAATTGGTGTTGCTAAAATCTCATGGATAATAGTGGGCTGATTTCTTGTTAGAATACTTGCTACTGAGTTATATTTTCTCCAGTTTACCTTAATCTTGTGATGATGTATTTTTGGTTGAATGTAGTTTCCAGCTCAAATGCTCCAATCACATCTATTTTACGTTAGTTGATTAATGAGTCAAAACACTTAATGTTGTATTATCAGTTAAATATTTAAATCTCTTTTGAAAGTGTGTTCTACCTATAATCTGTCAAATTGTGTTTATTGGTGTTGGTTTATAACCAGTAAAATTGGACTTAAAGTTAGCATGTGAATATCTAACATGTGCCACATTTTCTTCTAGTTTTTGTTTTCACCTTTCCACAGAAGAAATAGAGAATTCTTTTGTTGGGGTAGAACTGTATTGGGGTTCAGAGAATGAGAAAACCTTCGGAATGAAGACCTGGCGTCAAGTTCAGCTTGTAACTAGTGTGACTTCAGCCAGTTGTTCAACCTTTGCAGGGCTTTGTTCCTCTTCTGTTACATGGGACCTAAAGTCTCTTCCTCTTGGTTTTTGTTGTGAATATTAAACAAGGTAAATACTGGCAGATGAGGTGGCACATTGAAAGACCATAAGTACTCACTGAATATTAGCTATTATTATTCTGCTAATTTAGTAGTGATGTGGTAATGGTAAATGGTGAAATAGGGATTTAAAAACACTAAGATTCTCATTTAAGAAAGGAGATCTCAGTGGTGTCTGCTATAGATGGATTAACTTTTATATCATTTGCTTCAATTCAAGAAGTATTATCTCCTCAGCTGCTCACCATTAATTTACTTCTAAAAGGTTTCAAGTGTTACTTATCATTCAATCCTGTTTTAATCCTATTACAGAGGTCATCTCACCTTCTGAACTGTAATGAAGCCTCCCCCCAACAATAAAAAACTCTCATTTCTTCTATGGAAAAGTGAAATCAGATAAAGCTAAAAAAAAATTGAGTATGTTCTATCACATACATATTTTAGGTCCACTTTACTGGTTCTTACCAATCAATATTAATAAACCTAATTTGACAGATTACTGATGGTCTGGAAAGGGTGAATTCACTTTGTAAAGATATTAAAAATAAATTACATAAGTTATACAAGTTTAAATGTTTTGAATAATTAACCAACTGAAGTAAAATAATAAATCTCCAATCAATTAACTAACCTAAGTCATGGAATATATGCTGGTATATAAAATGCATCTATGAGCATGTACAAAGGGTCACAGTTACATTTGCCAAATGCTGGACACTATTTCAGTAAAATAACCACATCATGCAGAGAGTCTGCAGGAAAGGGGGAAATTCTACTAATTCAAAACTCTTGAATTTTAATGAAAATTTTGTGTAGCCTTACATGCTGTTCCTTTAAATACATGTTAGCTAATATAAGTAAACTAACCAGCACACTCCCAAGGACAAAATCAGAAAGTTATGAAAATCTATTCTTATTATCATTCATCAGAAAAAATCAATTTAACAATGCCCTTTTGTTTACTACTTAATCATCAGTTACAAAGAACTGATTCACCTGAAACTCACTCTCTGAGCACCAGGCCCCCTTCCCATGATAGGGGCTGAAGATTTTGGAAGGAAGGAATAATGTAGTCACAAATCAGTGGACAGCAAAGGGTTGAAAACATTAGCCTGAAATACATGTTTCAGGTTAAGTTCATCTGTCAAAAATCAGCTCCTTTAACAATGATCTGTTCCTTGACAGCTGCTGTGTATAATCGAAGTATTCTCAGCTACTTTGGAGGTTTTTTAAGGAGTTTTATTAAAATGGTAGTATTTCAGATGAACCAAGAAAAACACATGATGTGAGGAACATCACAATTGATTTAATTAGTGATACCACCAGCCTGCAAAGCAGGAAACTTTCCCTTACTTGCGCAAGGGCATAGTCTGAATATAGTATGTAATTAGAGCAAGTGAATATTGCATGGAACACTGGGCTCCACACAAGCATTCTGAAGAGCATCAGACAAGTTATTTTGAAAAAACAAAACTCTAGGCACATGATGAGGAGAAACCAAAGAAAGAAAAACAGAAGCCATACTTTAACATATAATAAAATTTCAAAACAAGTTTTGACCCCCTCACATATAAAAATCTTTTCCTGAATTGCATAACTTACATACAAATTATACTGAACAACAAAGTTCCCGAAGGAAAAACAAAGTAATCCCTCTTTGCCTTTAGAAATGGCAGCCATGATCACTCTGAGAATTGTTCTCCTTCCCTACCTTTCTCAGCAAAGACTTTTGATTTCTCCATCTGGTCCACTGGCAATCGCAGTCAGCTGAAGTCCGTGGGGGATATATCCAATTTTCATCAATAACTATATTCATTTTGTTGCCTTTATATAAAATACAGCAGTTGCGGTTGTAAAACGGGGGGGGGGGCAATTTAAATGTTTGTGTTGCTATGTTTTGCCTCATAAAACACATGATCTGCAAACCAAAAATGTTGGCAGGACCAGCTACAGACATTTATGGGTTGATGAGAAGCTACTATAGAATGAAACAAGTATATACAAATATAACCGTTTTTATTCAAATTGTTCCCTTTTTTTGTGACACTTAAAAATGAATACAGTTGCTTAGGCTGCAGTATATTCAATATATACATAGCATAACATAATAATAGTATTAATATATATTACAGGAAAGGATTTTCTCAAAATGGAAAAGACACTTGTAAGTATCTATGGTTTTCATACCTCACACGTTGATTGATACCCAGAAAATTCACCAGAAAATTCTGCTTAGTTTTCAGTTTTACTTCTTTTTTTTTTTTCTCTAAGATTTATTTATTTGTACATACAGAACTGGGGTACAGGCTAGAGATGCAGGGGCGGTGAGAGGATTCACCAGAGACAGAGCAGGGAGCAGAACAGGCCTACTGATAAAGTACACTCCTGAGGGGAGCAGCGGGCGGGTCAGGAGAGGTCTGCCACGCCATGTGGTGACCTCCGGGGCAGGCGGGAATCGAACTCATGCGGAAGTGGCTTTCGCTTCTTAGTGCAGTGCTTTACCCCGCAGCGCCACCAGGGAGGGCCCCAGTTTTACTTCTCTTTTTACACAAATTTGAGTCAAAATGCACTTTTGGTGAAATTTGGGTGGTAAAGAGGTCTTTTTTTTTGGTTGAAGTTTTTTCTTATTAACAGATGAGGCTGTTTCTAGCAGAAACAGTCATTAACGAAAAGAAAAGAAAAAATCACCAGAAAACATCTCCTCAAGAATAAATGATTGCTGAAAATATATCAAATTCAAAAAGAAAGAGGCCACATTTATTCATCTTATTACTTGAAAATGAAAAATTCTTAGAATTTATTGCATTAAATAAGAAACCAGAGACCATGCATATGGTGTATAGATAGCACCACCTTGTGACACAAATGGGAATTGCATATAGCTACTGAAAACCCACTTAGTTGACATATTTTATAAGTATAAAACCATTAACCATAAGCATAGTTACATATATTTACTCAGAAATTCAGTACTACAAGTTGAAATTAGTTTTATATGTAGGCAAACTAAGAAAGTCCAAGGGATATAAACAAGGTCCTTGGAAGATGTCCCCAATCGACAAATTAAAAATTGAGGGAAGGAAGTTTCACTGCCGTGATACATGAATTTCCCTATAAAGATATATTCTTGAGACTAAATTGCAACTTCAGCCACAGTCTTAAAAGTCTCAGGTCCTCCTGAAAGAATTAATAGCTGACAGTATTCCCTTCTCTACTGTCTTCCTTCTTCCTACCATCACCCCGTATCCCATGTGGAACCCTGACGAAGCAGAAGTTCATTTATTCGTGGCTCGAGCAGGCTTCGTTCTCAGTTATTCACTGTTTGGCACTGAAGGCAGAGTAACGGACCCTTTCACACTTGGCTACTGGCCGTTAGGAAGAGCTGGGATTGTGTGGACAGGGGTCAATAATAAAGACAGCGAGGATCAGACGGAGGGAGTACCTGTGGCAGAAATAATGAAGAAAGTCCAAGGAAAGAGAAGAGTTTCCCCAAACTACACTTTTTTCTTCTCACAATTTAGCTAAGGTTCAGACATAGCTAGAAATTTTCTTGAAGTTCATGGAATGTTTTTCTTTCTGTTTTACTTCCTCTAATTCCTGGCCCACATCGTTACTTCCCCTGAGCGCCTTCGCACCATACAAGAAAGAGTAAAGCAGGAAACAAGGAAAGAAGGCAAGCTAACCACCCCTTTTGCTTGCTTATCCTTACCAGAGAAACACAAAACAATTTTTATTTGCTTAAACTTGTTCCTCTTTTGACATTTGAATATAATTATATTTGCTTATGCTACAGTGATCTGATAGCACCTTCTCTCTTTTCCTTTAAGATGAAACTTGCTTTTCTCCTTCTTTGTCTTCAAAATACTGCACTCGCATTTCTGCCCTATTATTAACTTTAGTAAATATTAATTTCCTCTTCGCTGTCTAGTGTGGCATCTTCTGTTTTGAAATAAAGGTTTAGTATATCCTTTTAATAGTGACCTGTTTTCTGCTTTGTTATCTCAACCTTCTATGCATGTTAAGCAATCACATTAGCAATAACTACAGCTTGATGAACAGAAGTGTATTTATCAAAACATAGATTTTCAAGTTTCTTCTATTATCACCTCATGAACACACACACACACACATGTAACTACTTGAATGACAAAACCAAATCCAGTGAGAGTTTGGAATTCTAAATCATCATGATCACCTACACCTGTACAAGTAGCAGCATCTGCAGAAAATCACTCTTTGTTGCTACTGATAAATGAAATAGATGAAAAAGAGAATGGATAGAAAAACAACCATTTCTCTGATCTTGCATTTGCATTAGGAGCGTAACATTAAGAATTTTATACAGTGTATAAAGTAGTATATTTTGAATCAGTGCCAGTTATAAAGACAAAAAAAATGTGTCTTAATCAAGCAGTTCCTATGTATTATATTTTCCAAATAATTTTAGTTTTTTATAATAAAAATTTGATCCTGCTGAACCTGCATATATGAGTATTTAAAAAAAAGTAATGCTAGTTTACAAATTTTAGACCATATGATCCACTGTGCCGCATTTATTCCAAAAATATTCAAATAGTAAATTGAAGAGATATATGCACCCCATGTACATTACAGCATTATAAGGGATAGAGATAAAGAAGCTATTATAGACAAACACATACACAAACTATAAAAAAGATGAAACCCTGACGTTTGTAATGTCATGGAAAATAAAATAATGATTTATTAAAAGTAACTCCAAATATGTTTTAGAAGAAAAATATTGTTAATTTCAGAATACAAACTTTGGATGCTTTAGACTTAAACCAGTTTAAACCATCCAAATACCTCACTGTAGAGGAGTAGAGTTCATGATTATTTTATCTCGCCATTATTTGAGTAGTGATGCAAGGAGTGGCAAGACAACATCTGGACATCGCTTTCAAACAACTCAACAATTTGCTTCTGTCATGGATATATGTTAATTATGTATATATTTAAAAAGCCCATACCCCGCTGGTGTGCTCAGCCTTCTAAAAACGGAAGGTTTTTGTGAATCTGCTGCTGAGTGACTTGCTCCAGTTCCGTTATGATCTACTATTGGCTTAGTCTGTGGGCGGTTTCTGTTTGTCACTCAGCTTCAGCCTGTCCTTTAGCAAAACAGCCTCTGTTTAAACACTGCTGTAGTTTTCCTGACAGTATTGAACATGTTCCTGTTAATTGGTCAAGGTAGGGGGAAGAACTCCTCTAATGCTTAACTTTTAGGGCTAGGAAATTGCAAAATTCAGTGTCCTTATAATGCATGACATTGTGGGTCAAGGTTACCTGGACAGGGTCAAATTCTCCAGTCTACCAGCAATATTAAGTTCCTATCAATTTTTTCAACTCTGAGCTCTTATCTATTTGTGCAATAGAACATTTAGAAGAAATCTACCTGCTTTGCAACAGTTAGAACAAAAATATTGATTCATCTGTATTTCCATACCTTCATAGACAATTCTAAAGAAGTATAATAAGTTGTATAATTGGTGTCTCTTACACAAAGGAGGGCAAAAGAAAATCATAAGCCAATAACACAAAGCTCATGCAATTCAATATCAAACTAAAGAATCACAAGCCATGAAGGATAATAAAACATATATTATTTTAACATTTTCCCATGTGGGTTTTCTACCCTAGAGGTGGATGAATAATGTCTACCATAAAGGCATGTCCACCTAGAAAGTGTATCCTGATCTGGAAATTGAGTCTTTAAAGATGTGAGTATTTAAGGGTTCTACCCACAAGCATTTTGGGGGAATCATAGCACTTTCAGCCCCTGATTCAGAACTTCTGGAGTATTGTGAGAGACTAAATCTCTGCCGTTTGAAGCCACCATGTTTATAGCAATTTGCTGCAGCAGTTCTAGACACCAGTACACATGCTGGGTAAAATCAGTTGGATTTTCACTGAGGTTTCTAGAAAAGGTATGGAGTTGCTTGGCAACTACAAGAATTCTTAGCCTGACGTTAAAGCCTAGGTTCTTCCTATCTTTCAAAGGTAACCATTAAGGTTATGGACAAAGTAAACCTCTTTTGAATCATAGACAAAATAGATGGCAAATTTTACAATAAATATTATTACAATGGCAATAAATAATTCATGGATAGAGATGTCCCAGCATAAACCCAATACTGGGGTAACGTTATCAGTAAATCAACAGTACTTGCAGTTAGCATAAAATTCCCCAGGTTAATTATGTTCATCCAGCAAAGTTATTAACACCTGATGTGACCAAGAAACTGCTTCTGATTGTGTAGGATGCATTCATGAACAAAACAAAATCCTTGTTTATGCTGGGCTTCAGCGTAGCAGATGACACTAAAATCTTATCTGTGAGTCAGTTATTTGATGCTTTAGAACATGGTATGTGGGAGGGAAGAAAGAGAAATAAGACATGACAGAAAAGCTCAAGAGTCTTGTGTTGGAGAGATGGTGTCATTTTCAGAGTAAGTCGGGATGTTAGTGTAGGCACATTTGCGAGAGTGAAATTTGAACAAAATCTCTAAAGTTGTGAAGGAATTGCTCAAGAGACGCGCATCCCACACGCTCTGAAAAGCAAGGGCCAAGGACCTGGGGGAGAAGAATAGCTGATGCTCAGAGATCGTCATCCCTGTCTGTAAAGGAGATTTTCAGTAGAGTAAAAATGCTGGTTTGGGGGTGGGGGTGGGCGTGGAATTTCCTTGCTCTCTTGGATTCTTCTTTGGCAAACAAATGAACATCA